CCGGTTCTCTACACTCACCATACGAAAAACACAGCAGCATTACAATGCATGCACTTTTTTGTTCCTATTATTGTATTTAGAGCCAGTATAATTCAAGCTGTAGAGCATTCCATCTTAGACGTCTTTATTTGAAGTTGGTTGCAAGTGTCTATGAACTGCAGTAGCCAATAATGGTCAGGTAGACTGTAAGCACATTGGTCATTTCAATTTTATAAAAAGATAGTACTAGTACAATGTTTTTTTTTAATAATGATTTCTTATATTTACGCGAACACAACACATTGAAATAATACTAATTTTTACGGAATTTATCGCGTATATTTAACTTTTTTACCCGACGTTTCGAGAGCTTTACAGCACCCATGGTCACGGGAAGGACTGAGATGTTCAACGTCCAGCTGTCATAGTTAACCGCGGTTACCATAGATTAAAATTTAACTTTGGTTCCGATCTACACAGTATGAACTTATGGTATCATGGAGTCTTGCAGTTGTATGCTTGGGTTGGGATTTAATTTTATTTATTATAGGATCCCAAGCAGATGGTAGCACCCAGCCATCTTCTCTATTGAAATTAGGATGTTTTTTGATTTCAATAGCCTCGCGAATCATCCTTGGAAGGAATCGGTGTTCTTTAGCGAGAATTTGTGGTCTATCAAATCTGATGTAGTGACGGGGGCGATCCTGTACATGTTCACAGACTGCAGACTTCCCGGAGCGTCGATTCTTCACATCAGCTATATGTTCTTTGACGCGGGTTTTAATTGATCTTTTAGTTTGTCCTATGTAGGAGAGACCACATTCACAATCAAGCTTGTACACTCCTGCATCTTGCAGAGGGACGTTACACTTGACTGATGGTAAAAACTGACCAATCTTCTTCGGCGGCTTGAAGTATGTTTTGATGGAAGCGCGCTTCAAGATGTAGCCAATCTTGTCAGTGACTCCTCTAACATATGGCAGTACCAACAAACAGCACACTAAAAACAACTAGTGACCTCATAAAGAAACACTCCGAAAAATTAAATCTGGACGTAAAATGGATAATACCTACGTGCGCCAAATCACCAAAGTTGTATGGGTTACCAAAAATACACAAGCCCAATGCGCCATTACGCCCCATAGTGAGCCAAATCGATTCACCAACTTACAGATTGGCTCAACACTTAGCGAAAATACTCTCACCGCTCAGGGGACATACAAGAGCACACATAAAGGATTCCTACCATTTTGTCAGCGAGATTAAAGACCTACGTCTGGCAGACAATGAAACTATGGTCAGTTTTGATGTGCAGTCATTGTTTACATGCTTACCTGTTGAAGACTGCATCTCAATTGTAACTAGAAGGCTGGAAGAAAACAACATGCCCGTAGAGTATGCAGTATTACTCAGACACTGCCTTACATCTGGCTACCTATTGTGGAAGGAGGAGTTCTACAAGCAAGTAGATGGTGTGGCGATGGGCTCACCTGTATCTCCTATTGTCGCCGACATATTCATGGAAGACTTTGAGGAGAAAGCCCTGCTTACTTCTCCCATAAATCCAAGATTCTACAAGCGGTACGTAGACGACACTTTCACAATTCTACCTTTAGATAAAGTAACTGCATTTTTAGACCATCTTAACTCTATAAATACTAAAATTCAGTTCACAATGGAGTTAGAGGCAAACAATTCCTTAGCTTTTCTAGATGTGTTAGTAATTCGGAATCCTGATAACACCTTGAGCCATACTGTGTATAGAAAAAAGACCCATACAGATAGATATTTAAACGGTGATTCTCACCACCATCCTTCACAGTTAGCTACCGTGGGTAAATCTTTGTTTCAGAGAGCACGAGGGATCTGTGACAGTAAACACCTGGCTGCCGAGCTCCAACATGTCAAGCAAGTTTTGCATGACAACAAGCTTCGGGTCCCGCGCCTACGTTACAGAGAACGAGTGAAGCCGGCCACAGTCGAGCGTGTACCTGCTGTACTGCCATATGTTAGAGGAGTCACTGACAAGATTGGCTACATCTTGAAGCGCTAGCTCTCGAAACGTCGGCTAAAAAAGTTAAATATACGCGATAAATTCCGTAAAAATTAGTATTATTTCAATGTTTTTTTTTTCATATCTCTGACATTAAATTCTAACTTTCCTCATATTCCATGGGATAACATTACCGCAGGGCCAGAATAAATTTAAAAAAATAAAGATGAACAATGAACACAAAGTCCACCTGATGGTAAGTCTTTTTTTATAGGATAGGGTGACAAACGAGCACACACTCCACCTGATGGTAAGTGGTTGCTGCGGCCCATAGACATCTACATCTATCCTCGATTACAAATCAAAATGCAGATGCGTTGTCACCCGTGAGCACTAAGATGGAATGCCTCTTTTCCCGTAAAAAGGGTCTCCGGTTCTCTACACTCACCATACGAAAAACACAGCAGCATTACGCAACTATTGTTTTTATAGAAGAGGAGGCAAACGAGCATGCGGCTCACCTGCTGTTAAGTGACTACCGCCGCCCGTGATCAACCGCAACACCAGGAGAATTGCAGGTGCGTTGCCGGCCCTTTGGAAAGGAGTAAGCTCTTATCTTGAAGATCTTATCGGTCCGGAAAAATTGCCGGTGGTAAACTATTCCACAGAGAGGTTTTACGCGGAAGAAAACTCCTTTTGAAACGTACAGTGGTGGACCGCCAAGCATCCAGATGGTGTGAATGGTATCGGGACGTTTGCCGCGTTGTGCGTTCACGAAATTTGGCGGCTGGGATTAATCCGAACACTTCCTTAGAGCACTTTCCATGGTATATGCGAAAGAAAATGCAAAGAGATGCAACATCTCTTCGCAGTGCCAGTGAATCGAACCGATCGGAAAGCACTCGGTCGTCGACGATTCGAGTCGCTCTGCGCTGATGCGGTCAAGTGGAAGGAGCTGGTACTGGGGAGCCCCGGCCCCGAGAAGGGAATAGTATTCCATGTGCGGCCGAACCTGCGCCTTGTAAAGTTGCAGGCGGTGTGCCGGCATGAAATACTGTCCCGCTCTGCTGAGCACGCCAAACTTTTTAGAGGCCAATTTGGTCTTCTCTTCCAAGTGACCACGAAACTGCACGTCATTCGATATGTCGACGCCGAGGATTCCGATACTGGCTGAGGCAACAAGGGGAGTACCTTGCAACTATATACTATTTCACGCTAGTATTCTGTGAGAGCGTGGTCCTTCCCCGGTAGAGCCGACCTATTCGTGCTACAACTATACTACTAATATAACTACAGCATGGCTCTACCACGTATGCGATATCGATGCTGTGTGCCATAGACACATACATCTATCCTACAATGTTGTACTTAAAAGTTATTTTAGTGAATAAGAAACTTCTCTTTTATATACTCCATCACTAGTTGTCTTAATATTATATTTGTTTTAATATAGTGATAATAAATTTTCGCTTTGCGGTGTGTGCACTCTTTTTATGAGATCGCATCATATGAAAAATTTTAAGTATAATGATTTTTTTGAGAATTTTAAGTTAGACTAAGGCCTTTCGAAGTAGTGAAAACCATCTTAAAATATTGATTCTGATAACGCAGTTAACGGGAACCGCATGGTTTTTGTTACATGTTGTATATGTATTATAGATACGGTACTTTAGAACATTTATGACCGAGTTGAATAAAGATTTTGTATATATTGTTCCTACCCCTAATTCTCAGAAATTAACGACTATAGATGTAAGACAATATTTTTTTTTTCAAAATTCAAATTTTATTCCTGTACACTACTTTTATGTATTTTCATCTGTTATATAAGATGTAAAAGTTTTTGGATTTTCCATATTGATTGGGTTTTATCAAATTACACAGGTCTTTGAAAATAATTATGAGAGTCATTAAAAGGTTTTAAGATACACGCCTTTAGTTAGGTAAGTATATACGTTACTCTTGTTATGTTGTACTCGGTTATTATATTTATAATAAAATAATCTTATAAAACTAAGCTGTAATATATTCAAAGATCGGGTAGGTATATTTCATAGCATTTATGAGAATTTCACCCTCATTTTATTACACTTACATTACATTACACTTACTATACACTTCTCATTTTATTAAGAATTTAACGTTTCACCCACGCTAGGATTTGCTTCTGATTCGTGGAGGCAGTTCACAAGGACAAACACCACATACCCGGAACAATTATTTGTAGGCCATACAAAAATACCCTGCGGGGTTCGGACCCGCGGCCTCAGCGTAGCAATTCCACTACGCTACGGAGCCGTCCATGGAGCGCCCCGAGATTCGGAAGCTTTTGTTACATCTCTAATATTAAAATTAACTAACCATTCTGCGGCTTAAAGAAATCGTCCCTAAGATAAATCAATGAGAATTTAAATATACTTTGAAGATTGTATAGTTTGAGGAAATGAGGGATGTCAGTCAGTACATATTCAGCAGCGTGAGTTAAATAGGCTCACTTCTTTCTTTTAAAAGTTTAGAAAAAACTTCTAATTATTATCATTGCATAGGGAAAAGAAATGACAGCTTAAAGCGTTTTCTGGGGCGCTCTGGGTCAAAGATTCTATTCTGCTCGAAACAAAAATATTATAAGGTCTGCAGACCCTATTTGCAAACAATAATAGTTCCGAGAGTTTGTCTATGTACAAAATTATGTATGTAAGTCGCCTCCATAATATAGAAGAAATTACTTGTGTATGTGTAACATTGTAAAGACTATAAAATTCGTAAACAATTTTAAAGACATAAGATAATAAGGAAAAACAATATATTTTTGTTTAAAATACATTTATAAAATTTTTATACCACTTGTACAAAGTAAGCTTATTATCATATATATTATTTTCATAGTAAAATATTTACAAATATAGTAAAGCCTAAATTGACTATAGTAAAACTATACTATACTATAGTTATATAATTACGATATGTAAACAGATTACTTTGACTAGATATCACTTTACAAATATGAATAATCTATTATGTATAATAATTACTTCTCTTGCCACCACGTTATTGCATCGAGTAACTCTGTATCACCCATTCGTGTCATCAAATCGTCGTCTATACGATTATAACGCATCTCTTCAGTATTTTGATAATTCGTGAATTGATCATTACGAGGAGAATATTCCGACGACACTCCAGACGAACACTCCGAATTGGCTGGAGAAGGCACAGGTTCTGAATATGGGGAACTTATATCCCCAAATACTCCCTCATCTTCGTAAGTCACTGGCATTCGGCTAACAAACGTCTCCGTTTTATCAGCGATGCCCACAGCCGCATCGCTTTCATCGATCAGTCGTTGCAAATATTTTATGTATTCAACGACCATTCTCAATGTGTCCACTTTGCTGAGTTTCTTGCCTGATCCACGGCGCGCTCCTCCCGATAAAGCGGCCACAATAGCCGCAGGTAATCTCTTCCTTAATGCATTAAATCCATCATTCACTTGTTTCACGCGGTTCCTTTCTCGAGCGTTTCTTCTGGCAATCGATGCCGCTTGCGCGCCAACGTACGGGCTTTTGTAATTATACTTCATATGAGTATCTGCGTTTGCAAGGTCAGATATATGTATTCGTTCTGGTGCTGGAGCGATAGGCACTAGTTTAAGTAAGTCGGTTCTTGAGTACGATGATATATATGCCATTTTATAATCCGCTGTATTACTTTTCGAGTAAGAAATTCAAATATTAACTGAACGTATTTACGGGACGTACTTAATAAGGAATTAAAGTTTTTGGAGCCTTGACTACCTCGACAACAAAGTAATGAATGAAATACGTCGGCACCCGCACCGAGTTTTATGGCAATGCCATAGCAGAAAAAATAATAGGGATATCTCCCACCCCTACGTGAAGGTTGTATTCCTTTTTTTATATTTGTACCTGGAACACTTCAAAATGTGGGCTAGGGACCCTTTTCGTACACGTGCCGTCAAATTTATTTTGACCATTAATTGACCGACAATTTTATTTCTCGACCTTCTTAGAGAAAATTTTAAACAATGTAGGTATTTGATATCAAAGTTTCCATTTTATTAAAATACTTACACACATTCGTATCCTTTTTACATATATCCTGCAAATATTCAAATACTGGTCATGGGTGTTGGTCGCCAACATATTATTATCTATGCATTTCTATTCAGTTGCAGTTACAGATTAAAAAACTATTCAAGTTAATTTTGAGTAATATTTTGTTACACAAGGTAGCTGGCCTCAAGATACCGTAGATAGAAGAAGAATAATATAATGTACATAGATAAATTATATTATCTTCTTTCTTTACCTTAACAGTCTGAACAGTAGATTACTGGTAGGCCTCTCCATAGTAGGAAAATACTTTTCGTCTCATAGTAGGAAACTACTACTATTATCATTGTCTGGAGGACTAATTCTCCACATACGGCGTATTGACGATCGTCATACAGCACTTCTCTCGCTTTTGACTCTTTCGAACTGTAAGGAATCCCATTTCTATGTCTGGCAATGGAAATGGACATGGGATTCTTGCAGGAAGGCACTTTTTTGACAATGTGATTTATAATACTAAATTTTATTTTATTTCAATTTATTTAGTACTTATACTAAAGTCCAAATGATTAGGCTAGTCGATTGTCAATAATCTCCCAAATCGATCAGTATTTAATTAAATTCAATTATTGAAATTAGTGCCAACCATGTAGTGGCGTAAGAGTATCCACAACCCCATATCATCCCGTAGGAGTCGTAAGAGCCGACATAGTGAACTGAAACCAGAGAGAAACCAGAGATGGACGGCCGCATCTTCCTTATAACAATTCAAAATTATTATTAAAAACTCTGGTTGCCAACCTGCCCGCCCAGTGTGGCAATTATGGCATGATCCCCCGGCGAATTGCCACGAGGCATTCCGTGGAGGAGGACTACGTTTAGCGTGCACTTTTAAAAACCATAATGGATGGATGAGTTGCAGCGATTCGATTATTGAGCATCGGTAGTTAAATAATTTAAATCATTCATAATTGCATCCCGCAGGATTTGGTGATAATCCTTTAACACTCTCGTCATTCTAATGGTCGAAAGCATGACTGCTGATCATGTGGTTGCGGGTTTGAACTCCAAGTCGGGCCAAAATTGGTTATTGTGCTTTTCTGTCAAGAAGTTGGCGGTGTTTCACCCCGTGTCTCAGAAAGCACGTAAAGATGTATCCTGAGCCTGATCTCTCTCTCTCTCTCTCTCTCTCTCTCTGGTAGTGCCGTATTGCCGTCCCATCGGACTATAAGAGTGAGAGAATAGACAGTGCGCTTCTGTCATCATCATCATCATCATTACAGCCCTTCACAAGTCCACTGCTGAACATAAGTCTCCCCCAAGTAATGCCACAAAGCACGGTCCTGAGCCACCTGCATCCATCGAGTTCCTGCATGTCTTACCATCTAGTGAGGGGTCGCCCTACACTACGCCTACCGGTACGAGGCTGCCACTCGAGAACCTTTCTTCCTCATCGGTGCACTTGTGTATGCGCATATATTTGTGCACTATAATCATTGAGTTACAATACCTATAGAGTCACAATCTCTAACTGACAATACTCAAAAAATGTCCGAGCGCCGTTCCATATACCTATATATTTTGATATTATATAGTTCAAAATGACATTTGCTCGAATTTAGACGTTAACCTGCTTGTATAATGTTCAAAGTCGCTCGTATGCAATGTCATCATCATTCACTCAAGGGCTTGCGTACGAGCAGGGAACAAGGCATCAGTGGAGACGCTATTTATACTAATATTATTAGGAGTTTATAATAATTGTGAAATATGAGTTTGTGAGTTTATATGTACCTAGGAGAACTAAACAACTGATTTCAAAAATTATTACACCAATTTCTTTTTAATTTACTTATCATATTAAAAAATCTTATAACACATTTTATAAGATTTTTTATATGATAAGTAAATGAAAAAAAAATTGGTGTAATAATTAATAGTATTAATAGCACTAGTAAACCACTAAGGTTTGTGAATTAGGTACTAAAATGCTAAGTATTAAAATGTACGTTTTAGTGTGTATGTTTGTATTTTGTTCGTGCTCTAACAGATCGACGGATTCGGATGAAAATGTAAACAGCTTATACCCTAAATTATCACTTATGCTACCTACTTTTTATACCGGGAAACACGGGATCACGCGGGTCGCTGATAATTTAAAATAAAACAAAATTAATATTAGGTATAAGCGTTATATTACTTACTTACTTTTAATAACTTACAACTAAAACTTAACCTAACCTAATTACCTTGAAACAATGTTAATTTATTGTAACGTTGCCTTTTACTTTGATTTTTAATTTTTTCAGTACATTTCTTTGCAATGTAATGAATTCTAATGTTTATGTACCGTTCAATGACTGCCCTCATTAAAATGGTTCTATGGTTTGTAAATTCAAATGCATGTTCAATTAGATCTTCCATAACTATTGCACCTACGAATGATTTCAGAACTGCAGAAATAATTTTTTGTGGGTTCAACTTAAGTCCACAACGTTGACAATGTCTTATAGTGTGCACGGTTTTTTTTTCATAAATTAAACACACCTTTGGACGAATAAAATAATCCTCCCATGTTTTTGATATCAATCAAGTTGTGGAATGTCATTTTTTCTTTAGCCATCAAAGAGTTGCAACAAACTTCGCACTTAACCTTTTTTTAAAATGTGGCGTACAACGTTCCCAGAAATATACCCCACAATTTGATCAATGTATTCGGACTCAGATTCAGATTCGTCAAGCTGTTGCGACAATATGTCACAATTACTATACGTTTCAGACTCATGGATTGAAATAATTTGAGTATCGTCATTTTCGTTTTCAATTTCATGACAATAGCCAATTGTTGTATTATTTAAATTGTGAAGAGTGTTGTCGCCACTCAATATGGGAATATTTTCAAGTGGTATAGCATTTCCGGAAAATTTAGAACTCAGTTCCAGAAGGGTTAACATTTTTTTGTAAGCGGATTTTACATGGCGAGAATTGGGGTTGTTGTTATAGCCTCCTTGGCTTCTCAGATCACCAAAAAACAATTCAATATGGTCTTGGCTAGTTTTATATGTCAAAAGAAACGACAAAACTGATGTCTTAACCAGTGTTGTAAATAAGTGTTTTAAGCTTTCAAGGCATATAACCAAGCCCAGAGCTCCAGTCCCTGATTGGGATTTCCACAACGGTACGTTTTCTGTGGTATGCACAGTTCTTGTTTCGTTGTTTTTTTTAATGGTTCGTTTTCGCAAAATGTCAATATTTAGAGATAACAGATATTCTTTGGCATGATCTATAAATGAAAGAATTTCATCAGCGTTTGTTAAGCTCAAAGGCTTTTTGTAACCATAATTTTGTAGGTTTCGTGTGTTCAGAATGTCAAAAATGTTGTTGATGGTCATAATGAAGTCTGACGTCGGATGAGATCCATCGAATGTTGCTATAGCTAAGTCATTTTTACAAAATTGTATAGATTTAGCTACACTGCGGCTTAGAAGTTGTGTAGCTAATTTAACCTTCATGATCTCGTTCTTGAAGGCTATATGTCTGTGCGTCAATTTATTTGATAAGTGCAGCTGTTTTTCCTCCTGCAATTTGTGAAGCTCGGTGACGTACTTCCATTTGATGGCTTCGTGTTCCCCATTTTTTATAATTTTTTTTAGATTCAAACACGTTCCTCATGAGTTTGACCATATGACATGCATCTAGGAATACCGCTACATTGTGATCGGCGGAAGGGTGTTTAAAAAAAGGTTTTCATGGATTCCTTATTATTTAAGTTGCAGCCTAAAATTTTCATTGTTGCAATATTTGTCTTACAACCATCGAAAGTCAATGAAACTACTTTCATTTTAACTTGATGACATTTTCGCAGTGCAATGTTTATTAAGTTAGCCTTCATTTCTGCTGTTAAGCTTGTTATAAAAAAATAGCCCAATGGAATTTTGAATGAATCGTTAATAGCTACCAACATTATGACGTATACTTGACTAGCTATAACTTCAGATTCTTCAGATCCTGTACCCATATCCACTAGTCCTTCGTATCGTTTCCCCGTCCATATTTTCTGTTGCCTTATTGACATCTCATCTGCTACTAGGGCGCAAATATACTCTTTGTCTGAATTGTTGGATTTTTCCTTCAATCTATCAAATGATTCCACTGTAAAACCTGGTTCTGCGTTAACACTCTTATACCAGTTACATAGCGTGTTTGGATGAGGCAAACATGTGTTACAGAGACGCCTTACATACTTATAGGCTGCCGGCGAGTAAAAGTGGAACGTAAGTGCGAATTTCCTAACAGCAGGCGGATATTTTTTGAATGGCCTCTTCTTTTTCTTTACATTTTTTATGTATAAGGCATTGAACATTTCGGTAACTTCTAAATTTTGAGATAATTCAGAAAACAACGACTGGTCAATGCCTTTCCTACTTTTTAATACTTTCAAGGCATTTTTTAAAGTTGTGTTCTTTTTAATAAGTCTTTTATTTTGTTTTTGTAGTCTATTGATCTGTCTGTTTTTGTTTAAAATCATTTTTTCGCATAAATTCAGCTTTCTCTTTATAACAGTTTTTCTGGGAGTGTCTAAAATAGACCCAATACTTATAGACGTAGAAGGGCTCTGTTCGATTTTTCTTGAATTTTCCTCCTGAAGCAAATAAAAAAATGATAATAACGAAATATTTTTTAAAATCATACAATTTTATGACGTAAATTCACTACCTGCAAGCATACAACGTTAGTTTGTTGGCATATTTCTTCATCGTTCCCAAATTCATTATCAATCTGGAATAAATAAATAGGAATTAATTTTGCCTTTATATTTTATTATACGTACTTTATTTACGGCAATTATTTATTTTTAACTTACATCAAAAGACAATTCAATGCTATCTTCATTTTGTTTAATTGTTTGCTGATTGTTGTCGTGATCTAAGTTTACGTGAGTGTTGTCTTGATCTGAACTATCGTAACTTCTAAGTTGTTTTTTATTCAGCTGTAATAGAAATCATAGATCATACATTTATCTGCAAGACGTAAAATAAGCAATTTTTGAATAATGCACGCATTTTAAGAATACAAAATCGAAAGTTATAATAAAATATTACATTGTAAGCATTAAAAAGGAATAAGTTCTTACATGTAAAATGGGTTTTGCATTTTTGTTAAGCCTACTGAAACCTTTCGTTGTTGTATAAATGTCTGAAGCAGGAAAGTGATTAGAGCATACAACCGACCCTTTATATGGCTTGTAGTTTAATTCATTTCGGGCTTTTGCTATAATAACTGTCCATTCAGAGCATCTTATGGGGTTTCGAGGAAAACTAAAAACAAAAAAAAAACATATTGTAATTATACTTTAAAATAATAAAACTCTTTCGACCTACATTTTATACGGAAAACTAAAAAATAAAACATTTAACAACATTGTAATATTAGTACATTAAGTTTAAAATCTGTAAAAATATTTATTGTATCAATCCACTCCATAGAACCGTTAGAACATAATTTGCGAGTCACTCTCGTACTCGTGACTATTTGTTTCTCTTTTACTCTTGCATATTTGTCTAACGTGTGAAAGAGAAACGTTATCGCGGCGCCGCGCGGTAGGCGGTGAGTGTTTTAGTTTGCTAATAAAATGAAAATTATTGAAATTTAAATGAAAACATGCACTGTGGATACATAAATACGTAAATTTGGTATGATACTTACCTAAAATATGAAACACCATCCTTTTTTTCGCACGTGTCTGCTGTTATTTGGGCAGGAAATCACCGAACACTTTGGCATCGCGGACGTTGTACGAGGATTGTGGTCGCCTTACAACTAAACAAAAACTCTGCGCACTTCGCAGCGTGCGCCGAGTTTTGGCGCGGACATTTTATTTGTCTGTTTGTGACTCTATAGGTATTGTAACTCAATGACTATAATGCTGTCCTGCACCATTAGGGCTTGTATTTAAAAGGACTGGCAGTCGTGGCCAAAATTCTGCCGAGAGAATATTATATGGCTCTATAAGAATCACTGACGATTTTTTAAAAGTACCAATGACCAGCAGAGGATCAAATAAGTTGATAAGTAAATTAATGTAAAGCTGCAGACTTTATATGTCTATATAAGCTACGTCTCACTGCAGGGCATGGGTCTCCTCCTATTTCTGAAAGTGTCATAGAGAAAATAGATCAGCGCATTGAATGTTGACTGATTTCACATGTTCTTGAAATTATTTCACTCCTTTGCCGGAAGCAAACGAAGCGCATTACTAAAAACGAAGCAAACTCTTTCATTCGTGTGTGGGTTTGGCTAAAGACCCGCCAACATTCTCATTGCGCGATGGTACAAAAGGGAGAGAGGAATTAAAGCATGTTATTCCCACGCACATTCTCTAAAATGTATTCTACAGAAAACCGAGAGGCTGCCTACTCTGCACCTGTGCCCAAGGCTGAGAAGATTGGTTTCAACCAAATTAAGGTTACCAATAAGCCTCTTAGCACGCCCCTCCACTGACTCAACTCATTCTGAGTGGTATTTTGCAACACCAGTCCATAGGTGACAGCAGTTCTCAACGTACGAGTGGATTTACGCTATAAATAAGGTAAGAAGCTGTCCCAGCGTGGAGTACCGCAGCATTCTTACAAAGAAACCTAGTTTCCTAATTGGTTTATTAGTTGGGTTGGTCTGATTAGGCTGTGTAACCTCTTAAGATGCTTTAATTTTATATAGTTTTATTTTGAACATGATCAAATTACTAATGTGACTTTTGATTTAATTTGCACCATCAAACAAGTTTAGTATTACCTATTTTAATACAATCCAGTGGATGTAGTCGTAGCCGAAATAGGTAAACATATCAGAGACGCAAAACTTGAAAAACGAATTATCATAAAATTATTTTGAAAAAAAAAAAGAAAATTCATATTATTTATAGATTAATTAATAGATTTAATCACGGCCAATAGCAGGAGCGGATCGCTAATGGGGTAATAAATGAAATAAGTTGACTATGACATCATAATAATATACGAATTGTGGCTCGATTCATTATCATCTCAAAGTTTTCTAACCTACGTTAAGTCAAAACCTTACAAGTAAATATTTTAAAACCAATTTAGATTGTGAATAAAAATTCAATAAAGGCACATAATGCGCAGTGTTTAATTTATTACGGTTACCTAAAATTAAAAGAATTCAAGCAATGTTTTATTGTATTTGTAGTAACAATACTGACAGAAACGAATAGAAATACCTAGCAGTTTCAGCAAACACAAATAAATAAGATCCTTAAGAGTATAACCTGTAGATTTCTTTTGCATTTGCTCGATATTGTTTTCTATTTTAAAATGCAACTTGCACACTAGGCGGCATCACCTTCAGTGAATATCTGAAAAAAGTTTACATTAATTTAGGACGAGCGTCAGTATTTTACACGGTTCTGAATGGCAAGGGGCCTGCCATTGTCACATCCATTATGCCGTAAAAAGATTACACAGGGAATGTGGGCCATGCCATTGAGACAGTGCAAAGAATGAATTGTTTAGAAGCTTTCAATCATTTCCATTGAAGGAGGCGCTAAAGTTGATTTTAATAGACTTCGTGTCGCCTCGGAGAAGTCATTCGTTTTTAATTTTGTTTCTTTGATTATTTCTTACCTGCTAACTGCTATTGAATACTGAAATCACTAAATTTAATTTATCCAATTGTGTAAAATAAATTAAAATTAACATAATATATTTAATTTTATTTAAACACTAGCAAGATTTTTTAAATTATCAAATGTTCTTTATATTATCCAGTCATTTAAATCTATAATTGAAAGTACCCTATTGATGACTTCGTAAAGTCTATATTCTAAATCTAATTTACTTCGTAAAAAAATTAAACGTAAATTTCATTTGTATAAAAAAAATCACAATTTTGGCATTGATCACACACTTCTCTATTTTCGAGTGGGGATATGATGGGATATATAGTTTTGTTTTTTATTTGATTTCTTTAAACATATTTTACCTATCAAATATCGCATTTTTAAAGCATTTTTGATAATAAAACCCTAGAGACCTATAACTTCTCACATACAAAGCAACAATAGCTCTAGAAACGAGAAGAAAATAGAACCGATCCATCATTTTAGCTCAAATATTCTTCATTCAGGCGAATTCGCTAAACATAATATAATTGTGGGAGTGATACAAGGAAGCATAAAGTACATGTACAATAGCTCCACGGGCGTGCTCACAAAGCGATCGTCAAATAACATTTAGCCAGCCCACACCTTAGGAAATCGCAAAATAGAGATGTCTCTGAAACACAAAGCCGTATGAAGAGCACACGGAACCATAACCGATAATTACAACCTTTGTTGATCTGATACTTTGTGATCATATAATACCAACTATAAACTTCAAATGACATCCATTTTTGAAAATCGCAATTACAAAAAGTCTTTAACTAAATATTTGTTAATAGAAAAACTTAAAAATTATATAAAAATCTTATATTAAACTTGTAATTTAATAAATGGTTTAAAGAAATTGCAATTCACAACATCATTGGTACAAGCAGTAATCAAGTCTGGGATGCTCAGGTACTGTAAAATTAAGAGCAGATCTACTACGTCTCTGGTTTTGCAAGAAAAAATAATTTAAGACACTTTACTTTGCATGTACTCGTATGTTATTAAAATGCAAATTCAGCTCTTACTTTATAATAGACACATTCAGTCGAATGAACAAAACTAGTAGTAGTCGGACAGTTTCATTAGCCAACAAAATATGTGGCCAATATTTATGTAAAGTTCGTGCAACCCGAGCAGATACGATACCTGGTGGTCCGTTCTGCACTGGATAAGTCTTTGATCGATAAAGTTGTAAGTTTAATTACTAAACTGGTACAGTGGCTTGTTTTAAAAGGCACCGCGGCACGAGTGCCTCCTGTGCGTCCTAAGCATGACCATATCCTCTCAGATAAGGGTCCAATTATTAATGACAAATATCCATAAAGTATATCTTAACAATGTTTTAAATGTAAATGCTAATGGAGATGTGAACATTTTCAAGGCCAATAGATCAACAGATGCGTAATATAGAATTGCTTGTTGTTTGAAATGACGTTCGGCACAAGCCATATAAGTCTATGATGTGAGGATGAACACACCTTGCCAGACATATGTATGCAATCCTTTCGCATCTGCCGATCTTGCACTGATTTTTGTTTATGAATAATATGACGAATTATAGCCGGCCTTTTATTTGCGCTGCCACCTTTCCGGATGTACTTCGGCGGCGGATGTTACCTTTCCTACAAATTTATGTGTTGCAAAAGTGTTAAAATTTTGCTGAGTAAGTATGCATAGGTGAAATATTGCCATGATTTTTTTCGTGAAAGCAATTGATATATAAATGAATTTATATCCATTTAACGTAACCCATCACAAGTTTACTACTGAACAAAAATCAAATAAATCCATCCATCAACTCGCTGCTTTTTTATCAGCTCGTTACTCCATCTAGTTGAAGATGGCCTACTCTTCGCTTAACGGTACTGATTCTTCACTTTTTTCTACTGATCCGTAGGGATATATCAGTAACTCCGGTTTTACTGCAATCTGATATCCTCATTTCTAAGTGTATCACACAGTGAAACCCATCTTCTGAGCGACCTTGAGTATCCTCGTACGGCCAACAGTGAAGGACTACATATCAAGTACATATATCTTCATTGGCTACACACGCTGGTTGTACAAGTACAATCTTGTAATCTAGTATTGCGGTATACCTGACAAGAATATGAAATCCTATGAATTCGCAGTTCAAAATGAAGTCGTTTGTTTGTTTTATCCCCAAAAAAACGAAAAGCATTGAATTTATGACAATGTTCCACTTATAAAGACATTGTCATCTTAATGTGGCAGAATTTTTTATTTCTATTATAAAGTTTCAAAAGGCAACACGCCACCTATCAATCCTCCATGGGGTAATCTATCTAATAAAGTTACACGCATGAAGGTGTCCGCAGAAAAGTGTATTGTTGTGCAACATTACATCATCTCTATTGACATATTACCATTTAGTAGTTTGACCCTATTGTTAACATTTTTGGGTTTAAATAAGTCCATTTTAAGCTTCATACTCAAGTTATTTTGAAAGAAATTAGACAGCTTAGAATAATACTTTCACGACCATTTCTTAACAAATTTATCTAAATATACGTTATTCGTTATTAGCTGTTACACTACTACTACTATTGTGTATTACGTACTGAGGTAAGCTATGTCGTAATTTTATCTGGTTTCCATTATCCGCGACGCTTCCCGTAGTGAAACGTAAATCTTAATAAAATTAAGAGCCAATAAAATGTAAGTAAATTGAAATATCGTGGAGAGACATCGTAATTCTCGGACGGAGATAGGCATTAAAAGCTAACTTTTATTTAATAATGAACTATTATTAATTGTTTTAAAGGCTACCATCAGAAATGATGTGGGACTCAACTATTGAGTTTCGACTATTATAATGATTACAGTTTTGTAAAAGGTGTTCTTCAGACTTTAGGTTTGAAATAAAGTGTTTTAAAAGCACAGCACTTTTACACGACATTATTCGACAAGCAGCACATGATTAGAAACCCGCTCGCCAAGCGTGGCATCTATGGCAATACAACCCTAAAGGCAACAATACAAATAAACTATTCCTCGCTACGGTGGCAACCATGGTAACGGCGGGGTAGGGGGTGCTAAGAATCTCCGGTAGAGTTGCCATCTAAGATGACTCGAACTGGCAATATACAACGCACGAACCCTGAGAACTGTCGAGAAGATCCGGGAGCTGGAAGAAGAGACAGACTAGTTGTGCTAGAATATTATAGGATTATCCGAGGACCGAAGAGAGGGGGGACACGGTGATTCTCGAATCCGGCAACTTGTTCTACCATTGGATGGTAGAGTCATGTTGCAGTTATATTAGAAGTATGGGTCTGCTCGACCGGGAAGAACCACGCTCTCACAGAATACCAGCGTAAAATAGTAGCTTCATGCTACTGTGTTTCGTATTGAATAGATAATATAACCAGAGACCCTTTTTAGTGGAAACGACGCATTTCATCTTAGTTCTCACGAGTGACAACGCATCTGCATTTTGATTCGTAATCAAGGATAGATGTAGATGACTATGGGCCACATCAAACATTTACCATCAGGTGGACTGTGTACTCGTTTGGCACCCAATCCTATAAATAAAAAAGGAGGAGTTGGATTTATCGTCCACAAGTTTCTTGTAAACAACAGATAGGGAGTGTGTCGCCTAGTGTTGTGTACCTTATACTCAGAATCATCCTGGTTTACGCACCAACTACGGCACATCCCGATGAAGAGGGGAAGAAAATATATGAGGATATTTCTAGAGCCATGCATTCCTCCAAAACTCGCTATACGGTATTAATGGGAGACTTCAACGCAAACTAGGCAGAAGAGAGAACGGTGAGATGAAAGTAGGGAAATTCGGAATAGGGCAACGAAACCCAAGGGGCCAGCGGGTGGCCGACTTCATGGAGAAAGAGAGTACCTCTTTCTTTATGATGAACTCTTTCTTCCAGACGTGGCCTCACAGAAAGTGGACCTGTTTGAAACCCGACGGTTCGATAAAAAATGAGATTGACTTCATTATGGTGACTAGATGACAACTCTTTAGTGATGTCTAAGTGATCGCAAAGGTGAAAACTGGCAGCGATCACCGAATAGTTAGAGGCACACTGAACCTAAACGTTAAGTTGGAGAGGTCTCGTCTAATGAAGTTAAGATTACGTTCCAGTCGTGCTCTAATCCAAAGTCCCAAACCTTTCAGCTCGAGTTACAAAACCGTTTTCAGTGCCTAGAAGACTACAATTCAATGGACAAAATAAATGACAAGCTCGAATAAACTGTCTGTTCTGAAAGACCCGCTGCAGAAGAACACAAAAACTCCCCCAATCACACTCTTAATCTCATGGCTGTTAGACGGGAAATGAAGCTGCAGTCTTCTACAGATTTGACAGTATACAGTCAACTGAACAGACAGATCTTCAATGGCATGTGGCGGGACTTACGCAACTTTAATACTGCTCGTATTGAAGAAGCTATCGAGAGGAAGCCAAAGATCTGTCTGCCAGAAAGAGCCAACTGACAAAGATGACGATTGAAAGTAGCAGCATCGTTTCCGGGGCACCTGAAATTCTGAGTGAGATTGAGAGGTTCTACAGGCAGCTGTACACATCATCCTTGGAGCCACACGCGAGTGTGAGTAATGTTCCAAGGTCACGTCTTATCGGAAACTATTCCGAT